TGGTATCTTTGTTGACCCAAATACTTGGCATATAGTTCCCACGTTTCCATCCCCGTACAAGCTTCCCTGGTGCCACCCACGGCCTCGATGAGAGCTTCCGTTTTCTTCGTCTGCCACGATTGGGGTCCTGCCCTCCTCTGTAATCTGTTCCTTTCTCTTTCCCATTCAGGTGTGTCCTGTTTGTTGGCATAGTGACGAGCGACGACAATAGCTCGCTGAAAACATAATTCGTCGGCATTTTTAATGGTGACGAGGCATTTCTTTTTCTTTAAATACTCGTCGAAATTAGCACTGTGTCTCTTCTTCACGTTTGTTCCGCTACCCCTGCCATCCGGAAGAGACACGTGACATATATTCATAGACATGCGCTGATCCAGTCGAAATTCTTCATTACTCTGTAATACGGCAGCCACTTTCTGTAAAAGGTCTTCGGCTTTTAACAAACGATGCTCACGAAACGGTAACCAGATAGGTGATTTGAGCCCTGGGTGACTAATGGCGATTCTAACGTAGTCACTTTCTCTAGCGTCCAAGGTTCGACGAATTTCCTCAATGATGGCCTCAAAGGTGTCGTGTAATTGCTGTGGTACATCTATGGCCAGAACGTGGGACCAATCCTCCAAAAAGTCTATGTCCACACACAGCGATTCGGTTCTGAACAATCTACTGTATCTTCTATCGACGGGTCGTAATGAAAAACTCATCTTGCGCGGTTCGGTGATAGCATGAAAGTGTTCAAACCTATCGCGTCTCTCCCTTTTATCCCCCTTATGCCGTGACGTCATCAAACGTTCGATATCGTACACCCCACGTGATATAACGTTGCACATGCGTTGTATAACGTTACATCACGTCTATTTTTAGCCTCCAACGTACACCCTACGATGTATAACGTTGCATCACGTTATGCTAAGCGCCGTGACGTCGCTCTATGCATGGACTCGTCTGTGACGTCATACCCTCAAATGGATTCGTCCTATGACGTCACTCCATGAATGGACTCGTCCGTCAAATGGATTCGTCCTTACGGTAATAAAACGACGGACCATCCCTCTCTCAGTATCAGAATGGCTGACGGCGCTCCCATCATTCGCCTCGAGGAAAACCTCAACGTAGATACGCTCTTGTATCTCAGAGGGAATACTCTTGCCGTGATTACCCCTGACGATATCTTTGTCTTACCTGACGAGGTATTAAAAACACCTCCTAGGAAAAGACCCCCTCCCGAATTAGTGGAGACCATCAGACGCAACCGACATAAAGTGCGTCGCACCCTCACGTTCTAGTGAGGCCAACGGCCCTTTTCAGGGCCAACTTAATCAATGCAAAAGAGTTGTCTCCCCTTCTTTTGGTCTCCCCTTACCCCTCCTCTCCCCTTCTGCTCTCTTCCTTCTGCTCTCTCTCTCTCTCTCTCTCTTTCTTCCCGCGCGCGCGCGCCCTCTCTTTCTCAAACTAGGTCACTGCACGTGCAAGGGGTCACTCAGTGCAAGGTCATGACGAACTAGGTCACGGGGTCATTCAGTGCAAGGTCACGCACGTGCAAGGTCAAGGTCACGTGCACGCACATTCACGCACATGCACGCGCATCCGTGCGCGCATGCGCAGCACGTGCGTCCCTGAACAGGCACCATAACTACTCACGCTAACCATTCAGCCATCCACCCCCCCCCCCAAATCGGGGCAGAACAATAGGGTGTATAACCTCATTTCATTTCATTTCTTCAACAATTTAAATGAATCCGTGTTCCTGCAGCTACTCTAATAGTATCACATATCGGCAATCCAGCAGTAGTTCTTTTAGCCCCCTTCTCCGTACTTGTAACATATTGTTCTTCTTCATCATCCCAACATTCGTTTCTGCTGTTAAGATGCGTAAATGAACTAATTTTGGAAGAAATACGACATCTGGTATGAGGTCATAGAGACATAACGTCGCAATTTTTGGACTCGCTGATACCGATTTCCTATCTGTCCGCAATACATTTATGGTGTCTAAATCCAATAGCTTTAGAGATATTTGCAATTTTTGATCGACAACCGCTATCTTGGATTTGGCCACGCCCCCTGGCCTTATTTGGACTCCGATTTTGGTAAACTTTCTTTTCCTTACTTAGGACATCATAATGAGTCAATAGAAATCAAAAAACCTTTTGTTGCAATTTGTTCTACGTTAAATGTTAGTTTGACCCGCCTATAAGTACAGCAACATGACAGCACTTCGTTTAATTTGGGGTCTTCCCTAAAACTATTGACAGTGATTTAATGTATTAAAAACGGCGAAAGTATTGTTCGTCTTCAAGCAGTATTGTTTACCGTTTTGAAAGCCTCGTTTGTCACGCATTTAGTTTTTCTACAATATTCTGCTATGCACTATTTAGCGTAATAAATTAGGTGAGGCGTGACGTAACGTTAAGTAAAACATATCTGAAGCTATGTTTAAAGCCGAATCGGACAATTGACCAGTCATAATTTGGAACAGAAATTTGTTTTCGTTACAGCAGTGTTTGGGTGCTAACCAGTTAACCACTCGGCCATCCAACCCCCCAGGTGCGTTATGTCATATAGGTATGTCATAAGGTATTGGTTGTTAATCGGACCATTGACCAGTCAAGAATATGCTTTCGTTACAGCAGTGTTTGAGTGGGATTATGTCTAATCAAACGAATCACTGCGAGGAGCATGCGTAAACATATCTGGAACTCTATTTAAAGCCGAATGATATTGTTACGCAGTTAGGTATTGGTTGTTAATCGGACTATTGACCAGTCATAATTTGGAACATAAATTTGTTTTCGTTACAGCAGTGTTTGAGTGCTAACCAGTTAACCACTCGGCCATCCAACTCCCAAGGTGCGTTATGTCATATATCGCTTTCACATTACTTATAATTAGAAACAACAACGTCAAAACTCTATTATGGCCACATATATATCATTAAAGATATATTATGTTACTGTGAGACTTCTGCTCTTGACGTGGATAAAATATAGCTTTACATTTCTTTACAACCCCCTGTGGGGCGACTCGACATTTTTAAAGAATGTAAGCCGGGCTGAGAAATGAAGATAAAGAATCGCCTACTCGTTAAAGAAATTCATATAGGATTTATGTATTATCAGCGGAATTAGTTCTTTGGTTATTCATTTCCAACTAATTAACATAGCTTCCACGCACAATTAATTATGAGGTTTTTAAGTATCGGTTGGGGTTTTTTCTGGAAGATCGATAATCTTAAACGCAATTATAGGATAATAGTATCTAAAATACGTTAACGAGCACATAAAACATAAATGTGGTATGTGTATGAAGACAGTTTGATTATATACGTAAAATAAAATTCCACGCAAATCTGACTGAATTTATCCAATATACGACCGTTTACGTTGACAACACACTGAAAAGGGCTGTTTGTCCATTTCTATACAGAGGGGATGGGCGTGTGGTCACACGCACTACATACGGCATCGATAGGAAAGAAATGAAAAGGGGTTTAACGTCCTACTGTTCTGCTCCGACTGGGCTAATGAAGAGGGGGCATTTGGACTGTGTTTAATCACATCATGGTGACCACGGTATAATTAAGATAGCTCTATAGATTAACATGAAAGGGCTGAGAGGGGCTAAATCCAACCTATCAAGTTTTAAAACAATTTCTCCATCCTTATCTCTAGAAAACGTGACTCCCGACAAAAAATCCTTAAAATAGACGCTGACTAGATATAGGGTTCGTCCTTTCATGACCCCAATAATTCACACCAAAACTCTAATATACTTGCCTTCTTATTTCACAATTCGATTCATTAGTCTGGTATTTAACTCAGAAAATGAAATGAAATGGAGTTTAACGTCCTACTGTTCTGCTCCGCCTCCGACAGGGCTAATGAAGACTGGCTTACGCCATACAACAGTGTGCTATGAGAGAAATTTTGCCTAGACAGCAGTGCTACGGCCTACTCTTATATCGAATTCCAACTGCCAAGGGATCTTTTACGAGCACGCCAATGTTTACATAGGACCTTGGACAGATGCGAAACCAATACGTTGTGCTGGTCTAGATGAAATTGGGGGCATTTTGGGACTATTGATAAACGCTGAATTAACGAAATCTACTCCTAACCGTTGTGCTTCTAAGCTGGGATCCAAGTAGTTCCTCTTTTAAATAACGGATTCTGGATCTTTTATCTAGCGTTAGAGTCTTAGGCAGATCCTTGTCTATGACATCACCCTTGGTGGAAGTGGACGTAATTTCAAAACCTCAGAAACGAAGGAACGAATGAGGCAGATTCAGCTGCTAAATCCTCTGATTCTGTGGGTAGTGTGTGCTCTACGTCACTAAGATAATATCCGTAGAAATATGGTGGTAGACTGGTGTACTTCATGCAGGTCTCCGATAGCTCCCTACATGATCTCCGGTTCTACATCTATATTGGCTCCGATGGCCTCTTGGATTATACCTTTGTATTTGTGCTCCCATACTCCCGTACTTCTTTCCACACTTCGGGCATTCCTTAAAACTCCGGGAATGTCTTTCTTCTATTTATGTGCCGTAACAGAAGACAGCTTTTAGTGACAGTTTTGGTTTAGCGCATCCATCCGTTTTCCAAGGATAGCGGTGTCCAATGTATATCATTGCAAAATATGGTAGGAAATGTTCTAGTTATGTATCATAACAGATGACAGGTTTTAGAGACAGTTTTTTTATGATAATTACGGCAGTTTTTTTAGTCGCGCGTTCATAACCACTGATCCAATTAAATATACTAGAAAAATACTGGATTACCCGAAAATCAGCCATGGAGCAAGCACTAGGCAAGCACTGGGCAAAAATGTCAGGGTAAGACTGACGGGCAATTGCCTGTTGCCTGCCAGCTTATTGTGTGCTAGCTTGACTGAGGGACCGGTTGTTATTTCTTGATCAAATGGTTAGGCAGTTTGGGGAACATTGAGAAGTGTCAACTACAAAAGACTCTGCAATTAAACACAGAAAAAGGAAGTTGACAGAAAATAATTAAGAATTTACTTAGGCCGCAATATGTTATGATAAATGGACAGTAAGAAACGAAAAATACATTCTGCAAAATGGACCATCCTTCAATGAGCTGACTGACGCCATGTCTAACAACAGTTTATTTATAGCATTCGGTATCTCCCCAAGAATAGAAAGCTTTGAGAGGAATTTGAAGCAAATCTGTGATAGATTGATTAGTTTGAATGTGTTCTTAGTCCAAATATATGATCAAATCACACCTTTTGCACAGTGGTGGGTTTTACCTTTGACAACTGGTCAAAATTATCAGTGAAAGAAGGCCAGCAGGTCACATCAGTTAGTGACTTGTTTGAAATATCGATCATTGTGGAAGATTCCTCCGAAGATTTGATTCTTACTACCTCAGTCCACCAAAAACAAAACCACTGAAAAGAAATGGGGTTTAGAGTTCTGTTCTGCACCGACTGTCTGATGTTATGAGATAACACGTGTTTCGTGTTTCGGTCCACTGGATACTAGTCTATTTCAATCTATGTGATCGTTTCTAGGACCTTGTCCGAGTAATATTTCAATACAATCTTGTTTTCTGGCACCTTGGGCAATATCAAGGGCTGAAACAGAAATATAATATTACAATCTAAAACAAGAAATGAAATGAAATGGGGTTTAACGTCCTACTGTTCTGCTCCGAACTGGGCTAATGAAGACGGTCATATGCTATACAGTGTGCTATGAGTTAAATTTTGCCTGGACAGCAGCAATACGGCCTACTCTTATATCAAATTCCAACTGTCAAGGGATATTTTACGAGCATGCCAATGTGTACACGGGACATCGGTTTTCCGTCCCACCCGAAGGACTAGACAACTATCCTTGTCAGGCCCTCCGTCCTGCATCACTGACAAGGGAGAACTACGCTGGAAATTCTGGATGAACTTTCTCGGCCAATGCAGGGAACGAACACCCGACCTTCAGGCTAGTGAGGCAGCGTCTTACCCACTTAGCCATATGTAGGTAATGGTAATCAGCAGATTCAATGATCAAGTTGTCTAAATATAGAAGTGCATAACTAACACACCTCTTTGTAAACTTTCCAATAAAATAATAAGCAACATGTACCACATTCATCCACATCTCCTTCATTTAATAAGTAACCACAATCTAAGGGACATAACTGTGATAAATAGTTCTCTCATCCTATACAATCCTGCCTTATGATTAGTTAAAGAATAATTCATGTCCACTTTATCAAACGAAATCAAATAGTGTACCAGTTTGACATCTTACTTTTCTTCACTGACTGAGGTAATGAAATGAAATGAAATGAAATGAAATGGGGTTTAACGTCCTACTGTTCTGCTCCTATGCTGGGCTAATGAAGACGGGCATACGCCATACAGTGTGCTATGAGGGAAATTTTGCCCGGGCAGCGGCACTATCGCTTACTCTTATATCGAATTCCAACTGCCAAGGGATCTTTTACGTACTTTCTAATGTATACACGGGATCTCGGTTTTTCGTCTTATCTGAAGGACTAGACAGCTGTCCTTATCAGGCCCTCCGTCCTGCATCACTGACAAGGGGGAACCATGCCAGAAAATCCAGATGAACTTTCTCGGCCAATGCAGGGATCGAACACCCGACCTCCAGGCTAGCGAGCCAGCGTCTTAACCACCTAGCCACCCGAACGACTAGACAGATGTCCTTGTCAGGCCCTCTGTCCTGCATCACTGACAAAGGGGGAACCATGCCAGAAAATCCAGATGAACTTTCTCGGTCAATGCAGGGATCGAACACCCGACCTCCAGGCTAGCGAGCCAGGGTCTTACCTACTTAGCCACTGTGGCTGGACACTTTACCCCAGCAGCAGACCCCCCTTACTTTTGGGCATATCAAAATATACACACCTGTTCTACCTTTACAGTCAGTTTTATTAACATCAGCACCATAAGATAATAATAATTTTACTGTTTCAAACTGACCTTCCTGGAATCAATATATTATTATATAAATGAAACTGGGTTTAAAGGCTCAATACCACTCTTGTTGTAACTGAATAATATGTCCCAATCTTTATTCTGGTCAACAAATTGTACTATTTTACAATATTCCAATTAATTGATGATACAAATTTCATCTTAACACACCTAATTTAAAAAATTGGAAAAATTCAACTAAATGATTTGAAAAGCCTGACGTAAAGCTTTTCAAATGTGACTTGGATTTAAAAATATTTTTGAACCCTTTGGACAAGTAAAATAGGATTTAATGGATAATTTACACAACAGGTAGGACACTAACACATCTAGTACTTAGAATAAGGCTATTTTTTTATTTTCTGGAGCTGTCAAGCCAGCAAGAGTGTTATTAATCTTTAAGAGTGTTATTGTTCCTTTAACTTCCTAATGTTCTGAATTGACTGGGCCAATAAAGACGGGCATATGCTCAACAGTGTGTGCTTTGAGGGAAATTTTGCTTGGACAGTAGTAGCAATACGGCCTACTCTTATTTACAAGGTTTCAGAGACAAGGGCAGACTCTTTATCAATTATGATAGGATTCCTCCTTAGGACCTGCCGACCAACCAAAGAAAGTTCAGATAATGTATAAAAATTCTGGATGTCGATATCCCATTCAAGGGAAATAACTCTATTTTTTAACTGCCTGGGAAATCATTTTTAACTGATAACGGATGTTGATTGGTCACATCAAATGCTGATTTAACTATTAAAAAATTGTAAGCCATTATCCGAATGCTGTTTAATGGAAATGATAAATTTTGGGGCATTTTTGATACATTTGCAGATATCTAAATATTATAAACCTTTCAGATCAATAGTTCCAAACTGAAGATGCATTTTTAACTGTTAATTTATGATCTTCCTTTATGGTTGTGTATATTGGTATTTTATTTAATATACATTATTCTTCCCCCCCCCCCCCATTTGGACTTCCTACGTTGACATAAATTCTTCACTGATTAAAATTCCTCCATAGGAGAATGACAAGTTTAAAGAATAGTGAATCTAACCTTAGCTGCTATATGTAAGGTATGCTATATTAACTAACCTTAGCTGCTATATGTAAAGTATTCTGTATTAACTAACCTTGGCTGCTATATGTAAAGTATGGTATATTAACTAACCTTAGCTGCTATATGTAAAGTATGGTGTATAACTAACCTTAGCTGCTATATGTTAATTATACTGTATTAACTAACCTTAGCTGCTATATGTAAAGTATACTATATTAACTAACCTTGGCTACTATATGTAAAGTATGGTGTATAACTAACCTTGGCTGCTATATGTAAAGATGTTATACCAGTAGAGTATGTAGCTATATTAACATCTATATTATATTTATCTATCAAACATCTGATAGCCTCCAACTGTCCAGTCTGACTGGCTACATGTATCGGTTGTCTCCCTTCATTATCAGATATATTTACGTCTGCCTGAAAAAGAAACAAAATATTAATTTTCTAGGTGTGAAGGGGCTTTTCTAATGTTAGGGTGACCCATGCACCTACAGAAATAGTCAACCGCTGATAGTTCGAGACTACCACTGAAGCGTGCACATTCGCCGTGTCGAGTCCAACTTTCTGACAGTATGATACTATAAATAGCCATGGCACGTGCAATTCTCTACAAATCTATCAACTATTACAGCCGTAAAAAATTTATTGTTGACGATTTTGAATAGCAGTAAAATTAAGCTTCTTGGTTATTACAGCAGATTTAGAAATTACGTTCGTTTCATTTTTTAAATCGCTTTATCATTAACTGTACCGTTAAGAGCGGCATCTTTTGGTTTGGTACAAATAATATCTCTGAAGCACTCGGGTTAGACAGGAACATGATACTAGCAGTAGTTTCATTTTACTTTTACACGCTTCTTAAAACAATTGTTTAGCTAGCTAACGTGCTCATTTCTAAATTCATTTTCTTGTTCTAGCTTTCTGTTATGTTTCGTAAAAAAGTAGTCTTGATTATCCCGACCTGTCAATCAGCCCTAGAATGGTCGATAGACTGGTTAAGCGAGACTAATTTCAAAACAAGGGCATGTAACCTATCTTTTACTCAAGAGTGTCTGGATGTTATGGACGACACATGGAACCAGTTTTCAGTCTATTATTTATAGATGATTAATAGTCATAGTTTATTAAGTACAACATGATCGTTTATTTAGTGACTATAATTGTGTGAAACTGATTTGAGGCTTGGCATATATATAAATATTGTGGCGAAATTGTCGAGATATATGGAGATATTTATTTATGGTGGGTCACCCTACTAATGTCATAAAATATTACAGATTCTTCGAGGGCCTATCTAAGGTTATGAACTATCCCAGACTTTTAACATTTAATTATTCTTAAAACTGTATTTGCTTACTATTATGTTAATCAGGATTCTACGGCTTGTTTCTCCTTGTCGGTGGTGCAGGACAGAGGGCCTGACAAAGGGCCGCTGTCTAGTCGTTCAGATGGAACAAAAAACCAAGGTCCCGTGTACACATTGGTGTGCACATTAAAGATCACATGGCAGTTGGAATTTGATATAAGAGTAGGACAAAATTTCCCTCATAGTACAGTGCATGGCGTGTGTCCGTCTTCTTTAGCCTATCGAAGCGAACAATAGGACGTTAAACCCCATTTCATTTCATTTCAAGAAAGTAGGTTCATTTTATTCCATTTTCCTTACTATTACACAAAATAATTAGCATTTTTGACCGATAAAATAAACCAGTTCAAGTTTAATATGTAACTGTCATTCATGCCAACAGGATATAAGATATCTCTCTCAAAGTTTAACATTATCATTACACAAAATTTAGAAAGTTATTTAATCTTAAACACAACCTGGTAACTCTCTATTAAAGTTTTAGCGATTTCCAGATGACCCATTCTCATAGCGTCCATTAATGGTGTTGTTCCACAGCTGTCTTTCTCGTCCACAGATAAACAGGAATTTTGTAATATATAATCCACTGTATTCATACACCCATTCAATGCTGAAATAATTCAAGCAATTATAATAATTCAAAATATAAAATACATGTAAATAGATTTAACAAAATGTAGATTTTTTTTGTAACAAAATGTAGATTTTTTTTGTAACAAAATGTAAATTTTTTTTTTTTTAACAAAATGTAGATGATTTTTTTTAACAAAATGTAGTGGTTTTTTTTTAACAAAATGTAGTGGGTTTTTTTTAACAAAATGTAGATAATTTTGACAAAATGTAGATAATTTTGACAAAATGTAGATAATTTTGATAAAATGTAGATAATTTTGACAAAATGTAGATATTTTTGACAAAATGTAGATAATTTTGACAAAATGTAGATAATTTTGACAAAATGTAGATAATTTTGACAACAGATTGCCTGGAAAATTTTTAAGTTGGTGAGCTGCTGGGGCCACTTTCTAGTGCTGGGCCCAATTTGGGGAAATTGGTCAAATGTGCAAAAAAACGGCCATGATTATATAACAAGATGTAGATATTTTCAAATGTTAGACAACCTCCAATAAACTGTTATCTTTCTCAGCAGAAATGCGGGAGTTTTCATGAGGAACGGAGAAAGATTTTGTTAATACATGCACAAATATCAAAGCGGTTAATATTCTTTGATCTAGAGCAAATTAAAGCATTTAATGTCTCTGAACTTGATTTGACAGATTGAGGAATCCCTTGCAAACAACAATATTGTAAAAGCTGCATCTCTATACCAAATGTCAGTCCCAAAATGGATGGTTCAATTCCGTTCAGATATGATGAATCGAAAATTGTCAATATTCAGCATAAATGGGATATAATCAAAAGATTATGTCACCTGTTATCACTAAAATCATTTGATGGGCCTTAATTTTTAACTATGTTTTGCTTAAAATTTGGTGTGGCCTCAGTTTAAAATCTTGACAATCTTCTGTCAAGGACAGAGATTATACTCACCAGCAGTATGTAAAGTTGTTCTTCCATTTTTACTACGGACATCAATCATGCCACCATCAGACTCTAGTAATAGTTGAACAATATCAATACTATCTTCTCTACAAATAAATACCAATATTACATCTTCAAACACTTTCTGAGACTAACAAGTTTGTTATTTAGAGGGAACCAGATTGGCAAAACTCGTCTTAGTCTACACCCACGGGTTCAATGTCGCTGTCCCCATAAAATGTGTATGAAGAAAATATTCCCTTTCCATTAAGAAATGAAATGGAATGGGGTTTAACATCCTACTTTTCTGCAGCAACGTGGCTAATGAAGATGGCCATACATCATGCCCAGTCAGTGCCACTATGGCCTACTCTTATTACGAATTCCAACTGTCAAGGGTTCCTTTAAGTGCACCTCAACGTGTACACTGGGATCTGAACAACTAGAGAGAAAGAGAAATGGGGTTTAACTTCCACTCGACACAAACTAGGTCATTTCGGGACGAACATATGGTTTTAATTTCATTTCAATAATTCGCTAGTGCGTAGGGGTCTTTAGCAGTGAAAGGAAACCGGAGTACCCAGAGAAAACCCATGAGGATGGACAGGCGACCCTACTCCTTGTCACGTACAACCAGGGATTCGAAACCACGCCAGTTGACTCAATGACAGGCCTTATGATACAGCGCGCATGTGCTAACCATTCAGCCATCCAAACCCCCCACCCCCTTAAAAACAACTAGACGCTGTATCTTGCCAGACCCTTCGTCCTGCACCACTGTTTCTGGGGAACTTTCTCGGCCTGAACTAGGATCATAACCTGGGTCTCCTGGTTATTGTATCATCATACCTCCCCCTTTAATTAACGAGATTCGTACCGGCATGCTATATGAACTGAATTCCAGCCATCTTTATTTATCAGGGCTGGATTACTTCCATATTTCAACAACAATTTAACGATTTCAATATCTTTCTTTGTGCATGCCAGCATCAATGGTGTCCTACAAAATAAAAGATAATTCTTGGTATTTAGAATTATTATAATATAATTAAATATATATAATATTGTATATAGACATTTAGAAACATTTTATCATATATAGACATTTAATTGTTCATGTCACCTTAAAGATGCATTATGTAAGATCTAGATCAAGAGCTGACAGGGATTATATTGAAAATTTCTGTCAAATTACCGGCGGTACTTCATTCTGAGTAGAACAATGTAGTCTCAATTGTCATTGCTACCGTTCTTATGATAATAAACAAAGTCTTGATTATCCATTTTTAAATTAAATCATTAATACCCGGAAACTGCCAATTGTATTTAAATAAGTCAAAAAAGTCCTGAGAGTTGATTATTGGCCTGACATGTAAATAAATGTCTAATTAATAGTTTATATAACATTTGAAGCCAAACAAAAGATCTGCATTAGTCAGATTTAGCTCTTGAATAATGCATCCTTAAGTTAAGGTAGGAACATTAAAAATGAAATGGTCTCTGTCTGTCCTTCCCGTTTGTTTGCAAAAAACCTATTATAGAAGTTATACCTTCAAGGGCTAATCCCGATAATTTTCTGGGGAATAAAACTGTTTAATTTTGTTTTTAAATCCCTTAAAATCCTCTACCTAAGGGCCGAGCAACTAAGTCAATATTTGTGATAAGTTTTCAAATAACTGAAACCCGTCAGTCTTCATCTGGAAATGGAGACCGGTGTCCAAGCTGTATTATGCAGTGTCTAGATAAAACCAGACATTTTTTGTATAAAAATAATGTGTAGGTGAAATTTACCTTTCATTATCAAATACAGTATTTGGGTCATTCACTGTATAGACCTCTCAATGAACGGGAGTCGATTATCAGGTCTCCCAACGAAAAAATTGACCCAGAATCTTAAAAGGGTTACGTGTCCGGATAAGCAGTTTTGACGGTCACGTCCAAACGACTCAATATTTTGAGCTGAAATTTTGAGATACGGCCAAAATACCATTTATCTATATTTTGGCGTTTAAATTTCATACATACTCAAGACTTTTATTTTTGAGACTGTTCAAATAAGGGATAGTCCCTTTAACGGATTTAATAATTTTTTTTGTTTAGGTGTACAGTTTTTGAGCAAAGGGAGCAGCAATACTGACGCCCCACTGAAAAGGGAAAACCAATTAATTTTCTCAGTCAACACTGGGAATGAACCTGGGACCTCCTAGTCAATGATCCAGGTCCACACTGAAGAGAACAGAAATGAACAATACCAATCAGCTCTTTTTAAGCAATCCACAACAGCTCCATTTTTTAATAAATACTGTAAACATTTTAACTGGCTGTATTGGGCAGCTTCATGAATAGGCCTCTTCCCATCAAAGTTTGCTATCTCTAAATTTCCACTGTGCTCATATAAATACTGTAGTAACTCTAAATGACCGTTTCTGGTTGCTATGTGCAACAAGCTGTCACCTGACTTCTTATGGGTGATTGACAACAACTCATGACCATTACAACCATCTTGGATTGTTTTCTCATAGTGATGAAAATATTCCAGATTCCCAGACTGTGCTGCTTTCAAGGCAAGTTCTGCATTTATTGTTGCCATACATGTATCATTTGCTGGAATAAGTCCATTAAACATACATTATGCAAGATCTAAATCTGCCTATTGCAGGTCTTCCAATCTTTAGGCCTGAAATATTATATAAATTATTAATTAGACATTAATTAACTTACCAAGACCATAATAAACTCTCGATGCCATTGGATGGCTGATATTTAGTAGATTTAAATATGTTCAGTGGTTGATGAAATAACCGTAAAAATGGATAATCGAGACTTTGTTCATTATCGTAACAACAGTAGTAATGACAATCGAGGCTAGACAAAAATTGCATTGCCAATTGCTTGGCTCAGAGTGAAGTAATTTGACTGAAATTTTTAGCATATTCTCTTTTCATTACCATATCTATGTTGTAACTACTAATATAGCGAGAAATGTCAGCTCTTCATCAAATCTTACCGGATGCTGCTTTAAGTCATCATATCATTTAATTCCATATTTCCTCACCTGTATTTCCTCACCTGTAAAGAAAGAAATGAGTTAGATTAAAGTATCTTGGTAATTCAATCACTTGAATTCTCTAGAGACAATCTGATTAAAACACAGATCCTATTTCGTTTCATTTTTTATAGTTCAAAATTTCGTTTTACTTATCTTTACTACACTAGGATCTGGAAGACTTGTTATCTGGATGATGTGAGGGATTAGCCAATGAAACGGTCTGATTGGTTTATCAAATATCTGATGTCATAATGTCAAAAGTCACTCGTATGACCTCTGACGCCGCCTCCCCCCCCCAAAAAAAACAAAAAAAAACAACTGGTCAGATCATCGATCTGTATTTTAATTAGATTGCCAGAGAGAGAGAGAAAGAAAGGGAAAAATGAAACTGGGTCTAACATCCTACTTTTCTGCACGGCCTTAATATCAAATTCAAACTGCCAAGGGTTCTTTTTAACAGACATGCCAATGTGTACTTTGGACCTCAGTTTTTCACCCCATACAAATGACTATGTTATACCGCTATACAGGCATTGTTCTGCAGCAATGACAAGGGAGGAAACCTCATCGTAAAATCACAATGAACTTCTCAGCCAACGACAGGATCGAACAAAGGACTTGCGCAGAGGGAGAAAAAACCGGTGGACCCAGGGAAAACCCATGAGGTTGGACAGACGTTCTTTACTTTTCCAGGGGAGTTGGATGGCCGAATAGTTAGCGTGTGTGTGTTGTATCATAAGGTCTGTCATTGAGTTAACTGCCGTGGTTTCAATGGTATACGGGACAAGGAGTAGGCTAGGGTCGCCTGTCCAACCTCGTGGGTTTTCTCTGGGTCCTCCATTTTCCTCCACTGCTAAAGACCCCTTGAATTAATGAACCATGTGTTAGTCCCAAATGACCTAGTTTGTGTGGAGTGGACGTTAAACCCCATTTCTCTATCTCTCGATGTACTTTTCCTTGTTATGTTCTAGCTTGGGATCAAAACCATGCCATCTGACCTTATGATCTAAAACCCACGCATTCAACCCATCTTACTTCTCTACTCCGTACGAGCGACAGGTATCATTGACCACGCGCATGCCATATGGCATATTATGACTATTATGAGTAACTATGAGTTATATTTTGCCAGGACTCTATTTTGAATTCCATCCATTTCGTACCATCTGATCGACTATGGACACTGTTCTTGCAACACTGACAAAATGAAAACCATGCTAAAAGTTATTAATCTGACATCATACATAACTTTCATTTAGTTGACTTGGTTAGATAGACTGGAGTCCCTACTCAGAATAACTACTCTCCATCATAATAAAAAAAAAATATAAATCTTACTCCCCTTTTTAAATCAACCCAATAATTGTTAATTCATATAAATAGAGCTTTGTGTGACTCGTATGTGTGTGTGGGCTTCGGTTTGTCCATAGGCGAGTACGATTTAAAATGCCATCGAGGTAGATCGACAATGTAAAATTTAATGTTCACAGAGTGTCCTGTTAACCGAGACTTGCATGCTAGGGATTCCCGCCATTTTATTTTGTACATGGTGTTGTATTTATTTGGACCATGGATCAAATAATTGCGTTCTTTGAAACTATAAATCTTTTAAAAACAGTTCCATAATTCAGTAATCAAAATCATTTTGAAATCATGTATTAATTAAATAAGATTAAATAAATTATAGCGAAAGGGATCATGCCCTATGCTGAACATGGACAATTTTAATGCATTTTTTGCGTTGAGTCCATAACACCGATTTTAGAAGCAACTGTCCATTTAATTCAGTCAAGATGGCCACTGCTATGTATTTAGAACATTATCTTGACAGTTTAGAATCACTTCCAGGAGAATTACAGAGAAATTTTAATCTCATGCGCGATCTTGACCAGAGAACTCAAGATCTGATGAAAGAAATTGACGGTCTGACTAAGGATTATTTAGAAAACGTAAAGACATTATCGTCAGACAAACGGAAAGAAAAACTGAGCGGAATCGATGGGTTATTCAGCAAAAGTAAAGAATTTGGTGATGATAAAGTTCAGCTGGCCATGCAGACTTACGAACTTGTTGATAAACATATCAGAAAACTTGATGCTGATTTGGCCAGGTTTGAGGCCGAGCTGAAGGATAAGAATTCGTCTAAAATTGGAGATATGGACAATAAACAAAGGGACAAACTAAAAGACAAGAAAAAACGCAAGTCTTTGAAAGAAGAATTCGACGACGAAATTCCCAAGAAGAAGAAGAAAAAGGGGCAAGCTCTAGTTGAAGAACCAGAGCCAGTTATCTCCACATACCCGCTTTCAATAACGCATCCATCAGATGTTCTGGACATGCCAGTCGATCCAAATGAACCGACCTATTGCTTGTGTCACCAAGTTTCATATGGAGAAATGATAGGCTGTGACAATCCGGACTGTCCAATAGAGTGGTTTCATTTTGCCTGTGTCGGACTGAATGCTAAGCCTAAAGGAAAATGGTTCTGTCCAAGATGTTCAGAAGAGAGAAAGAAGAAATAGAGAAATGTTTTTAGAAATTAAGATTGTCAAATCTCATGTTAATGTGATAATAGTTTTTGTTGTTACAGTAATTTGCAGATCTTTAAAGAGGCATTATCACTCTCCCCAAACAAAATAGATGTATTAATCTTAGATAAAGGAAAGTCTTAGAAAGGCTCTCTTACTTACTTAAATAACAAAAACGGAGTGGATATTTAACCATATACGGCAAAGTATCTACTTCCGCTATTTTACCGTACATCATTTCTGATTGGCTGGAATATAGTGACGTCATCAAGTGTCAGTTCCTGGATTATTTGACCGTACATGAGATGAATTTTTCCGTATACGGCTATCTTAAAAATCAGTATTAATCCCAAAATTTGAAAATAAATTAAGAACACACTATTTTAATTATTTTAATTTAATTTCCCATTTTGATGGATTAGAAAAATGGGTTAGGGTTAGGGTTCAAATTTATCTCCTATTTTCAGAACATCTGTACTTTCCGCCATTTTGAATTAGGTATGACATCATCACACAAATTAGCCAATCAGAAACGATGTACGGTAAAATAGCGGAAGTAGATACTTTGCTGTATACGGTTAAATATCCACTGCCTAACAAAAATCCAAACATTAACCTACCGTACGGTACTTAATCGGTCAAGGCTTATATTATAGGTCTACTTATGAATAAACACTTAAGAAAATTGTATGACTCTTAAATGGCAATTAAAACTTTTATTTCTCAGCAATAATGAAGCAAGTTTATCTCAAGTTTTGTGTACGATCCCGTTTGAATATCAAGGCTACATCCAATTTGAATATTTAGGTTACAGTGTACTCTGTAGCTTCTCTGCTATATAGTCTTTTAATGTCAAATTGACAATGTTATTACCAGATGACAAAAGACCTCCCAAGAATTAAAGCGCTAGTGCCTCTTTAACTTTATACTGAATTGTTTAGTATAGGGTTTTATTCAAAGTTATTCATTGTTTATAAAGCATGTATCACTATCACCCAAAAAATATATTTCATATATTATATATTGCATGATAGACCACTAAGACCAGTATAAGGTGTTCAAAAAACTGGATATAAATAAGTAATTATGTGAAGTAACTAACTTTCATGTTCATATCAAACCTGGAAGCACTGCATTTTTTTTAGAGCTGCAAATATGTACTCAAGCATACAGAGATAATCAATTTGTGTAGATGATGTTGAATCGAAAAATTATTAACTCAGTCAGTGCTCTTTATTTTATTAAGTCAGTTTGTTTTTAAGGTTACTATACTATATTTAATCACCCGGTGTGCGTGGATGTTAAATAAACCTATTTTTACATCAGTAATGGATGTATTTTGTCTAAAAATCTAATTTAATGTCTCCTTAACACTACCGGTTCTGTTGATTATAGTCCATGTTAGAGTGGTTCATAACAAACCAACAATATTTCGGGCTTATTTGAATTTTATATGATAAGACTTAACATAAAAACTGAATTTTATAAGGACAAATATTTGAGGCATGAACCACTCTATCCATGTATAAGTTGGACTCACTCTAGAAACAAAATCATGTATTTGTACATCTAAAAACTACAATGTAGGCAGATCAAAATTTGAAATTATTCTTAAACCGAAGATTTGTTACAAGCTTAGGCTAAGTCAAATTAAAGTATTATTTCAGATATATGTATATATAGCACAAAAATGACATTTTTTATTATCATTTTGATTTTTCAGAGAATTTTGGTAATTCTCAAAGATGAAAAATGATTGAAATGCATGAAATTTTTCCTTTCATGTTTTGTTATTTTGTCACATCACTGGTGACATGAGTTTATTTTGAATCATGTATGGTAGTTAATGTGTATAACAATTTATCTTTGGTTAAAGATGCATTATGTAAGATTTAGATGCATGTAAAGAGCTGGCCGTTCTTGCTATAATGGTTCAAAAATAGATAATGCAAAATGAATATATTAAAAATTTCATTCAAATTACTTTATTCTGAGCCAAGTTGTCACTGTAGTTTTCAAAAGATGTATGTAATGATTGATCATGAATGACCGACTCTTTATCTAAATCTTACATGATGCATCTTTAAATGATTGTTTTAGTGTAAATAATTTGTTTTACTTGGGCCACACCAATTTGAAGTTTGTTCTTCAGGGGAACACTTGTTCAAATTCTGCTTCCTATTTCATGAGGGGGGAGGGGATTCATTTAAAGGCAAAAAAATATTTGGTTTCTCATCTCAAACTCAAACGATTTTAATTCCACATTTTTCAGTTTTGAAATTTAAGACAAAACTCACAAGACTCGAATTATTGAGACCCTGAAGAACTAAAAATTAAATTGGTTTGGCCTTCTTCAGGCTTCATTATGTCATAAAATACATATATATATATAGTCACACTGTTGATGGGTTATCTTTAAGGGCATGTTAAGATAGTTTTAAGATATTTTAATTAGTTTTAGAAAGTCATATATTTTTTTGCAGAAGAGATAAAGAGAGACTATGTAAATAATCTTACGGAAGGACCATGTTATCCTTTGTTGTTATGTATGGCCACGTTTTAATGTTAATGTAAATAAACTCTGTTGCATTTTAATTAGTTTGTTTTTGTTTCTTTTCCCATGTTCATTAGCAAGGTTGGAGCCGAAAAATAGGAAGTTTTCCTTTCCTTTCTGTTTCTTTTTATACAACCGCATGTCATCACTCCTGTTCTGTATAATTGCTTGTGTTGTGGAGGCTTTAGAATTTAAAGATGGTTGGAGCCACGCTGGCTCAGTGAGTAAGACGTTGGCTCGTTAACCCAGAAGTCCTGTGTTCGATACCAGCATTGGCCGAGAAAATTCAATAGGATTCTCCGGCATGGTCCCCCCTTGTCAGTGGTGCGGCACAGAGGGCCTGGCATGGGACAACATAAAGTTGTTCGTATGTGATGAAAAAAAACGAGGTCCCATGTACACTTTGGCTTGGCAGTTGTAACCCAATATAGCGCCGCTGTCGGACCAAACTTCCCATATATCACACCGTCTTCATTAGCCCAGTTGGAGGAGCAAAACAATAAGACTTAAACCCCATTTCATATCTCTAAATAGTAAGTGCAGGGGGACTGCACCACACATAATTTACACCAAAAATAATATACGGACAAGACATATTATGCAGAAATAACAAACTAACAATTAAAATAAAACGAATGTGTCCACTGCGCTGTACAGTCCCAGGCCTGTAGTGACACAGACTTCACTCAAAATTGAAAACAATCAGGAATATAACCAAGAGAAACCATTGTGTAATGCCTGGCAACCGATCTTTTAATATCCTACATACCAGCATAATCTTTAGTTCTGGGAGTATAAATTCTGCCTGATTATATTTTTTTTATAAAGCCGCCAGTCGATATCAATTTTATGTTCGTAAAATTTCTTTGTTAAATATGTAGTTATCTCCCTTGTGTTGAAATTTCGCATACTATTCATACCATGTCTATGAATGTAATGTGGTTTAACATCCAACTTTTCCACTCCAATCCATTGAGCAGATTGGTGCATAAAAGTGAGTGAGACGTCAATTTCCATTTCATTTCATAAGATTGTCAACGGGGTTGTAACACTACATCTGGTGACTTTGCGCTCTCGGGTTGTCAATCAAGTGCGTAGGACACACGTGGTATTGACATTCATTATCTGAACAACCATACAACTTAGCGCGATGTACTAAATGTTATCAAAATGCAAACATAACAGAAAATTCCAGCAATAACACTGATAAGATAATAAATGATTTGTCATTGTGACTTTAACAATGGTAAAAATAATCTCTCTCGCGGGTAATTTCCCACTCGTCACAAGGTTATTTGTCCTCAACCAATGAATGAATGAAAATGTGTTTATCGTATTTTTACTTTACTGATACACGCCATGCAGTATGCCATGAGGAAAATTCCAGTAGTCGAGGGTTCTTTTACGTTCGGACCAAGGTGTAAACAGGACCTCGTTTTGTTTTTTTTGTTTGTTGTTGTTTTGTTTTGTTTTGTTTTTTTTGTTGTTTTGTTTTGCTTTTGTTTTTTGGGTTTTTTTTGTTTTTTGTTGTTTTTTTTTTTGTTTTTTTTTTTGGGGGGGGGGGGGGGCGGCCAACTCCGACTTGAATCAAATATTGGGCCCCAAGCGTTACCCATCTTGTTCTTTTGGGGCAACGCTCTTAGAAACCGACTATAATGCTCTACCACTATATATGATCCACATGCATCATCGAACGTATGATTGACGATTTTTGAAATGATTTCATATTATCAAGTGCATAACATTAAAGGGACATTATGTAAGATTTAGAAAAAGAGTTGGGCGTTCTCGCTATAATATTTCAAATATGAATAATGCAAAATGAATATTGAAAATTTACTTTATTTTTAGCGACGATATCTAATGGTTGTCGTTTTGACAAGATTTGTGTATTAATCGTAACTACCATACGGGTCATTCTAATCTTAGCCTCGCTTCTCCATTTTTAAATTAAATCATTAAATGACCAAACCATTCTAATCTACTTAAAACCGGAGCCATCCGATGGCATCGACAGTTGATTATGGTCTTGTCATGTTAAACATACCTTTTGCAAGATCTAAATCTGCCTATTGCAGATCTTTCTTTAGACCTGAAATATTATCTAAATTATTACTTAGACATTAATTAACTTATCTAGACTATAATCAACTCTCCGTGTCATCGCTAGCCTGCGATGTTTATTGGATTAGGTTCCGATTTGCTGTTCGACTTTCATTCATCATTTAATCACGAAATGGATAATCGAGGCTATGTTTTTATCGTACCGACTTTAGTAATGGTGATCGAGGCTATAGACCGAAAATTCAATCTCTAAAGTGGATCAATTTTACTGAAATTTTCAGCAAATTTCCTTAACATTATCTAGTTTTTAACTATTATAGTGAGAACTGCCAGCTGTTTATCTAATCTCCCATAATGTACCTTTAATAATGTATCTTTAATAAATGTCTCATTAATAATTAATATCAAATTTTAAGGTCCACAGAAAGACTAACAATAAGCAGATTTAGCTTTTATAATACATAATACCCGTCTAATATACACGTCTGAGTATATAACAGATTTATCTAAGATATATATATGTTCGACTAGATTTATGTAAATAATTTATATGTTGGTTTTTTAATTCATATTATATTTTAATTTGAATATATTAATTTTGTTTGTGAATTTTACATCGCTTGAAACGAATTAAACCAACTCTGCGTTGTTGGAAATTGAATGTGACTTTATTCAGGAATTTGGGTTATCAACGTATCATTGATTCGTTGATTTCTTGAGCGCGTAAACAATTTGTGATTTGACATACAATGCTAACTACCGAGCGAACATTCCGTGATTTGAGATTGTACTTTTCCTTTTAACCTACATGGCGTATTCAAATCTAAGCATTATGGGAGATTCGATAAATAGCTGACAGTTCTCGCTATTATAGTTTTTAAAAAAATAAGGTAAAGAGAATGTGCTGAAAATTTCAGTCAAATTGCTCCACTCTGAACCGAAATATTAGCGATTGAATTTTAGGCCTAGCTTCGATCATCATTACTAAAGGTGGTACGATAAAAACAAAGTTTCGATTATCCATTTTGACGTTAAATCATCCATCACAAAATCTATTCAAATTCAGTAAATGTCATAGGCTAGCGATGGCATCGAAAGTTGATTATGGTCTGAATAAGTTAATTAATGTCTAATTAATAATTTAGATAACATTTCAGGCCTAAAGAAAGCCATACAATAGGCAGAAATAGCTCTTGCATAATGTATGTTTAATGCTTTGTTAGGAAAGGTGAAGGGCATGTACTTAAGTACTCCGGTGTCCGCAAACGTATGTCTTAATCTGGCACTGTCCCTAACCTCAACGACCTATGTAAATTAGAATATATATATGAAGGGTGTTGTTGGCCTATATCGCTCCCCACTCCCCCCCCCCCCCAAACAAAAATACAGCACAAACACACGAGAAAAGATATACCCAATAACAGAACCTTTATTAAAAAGAGGAGGCGGTAAGGGGTGGGAATATGCAAGGGGTTTCTGTTTGGGTGAAATGTAAAAGTTGGTTTTAAAGATAAAGATCTCTGTACTTCTTGGCCTGTTTCCAAGAGGAAAGTTGTAAATTATTCAGTCTGTGAATCGTCCGTTCCTGTAGACCAATAGTTGAACATTATATTACCTGTTGTAATTTTCCAAGTCATGACGTAGGACTATTGTATGTATGTCATGGCAATTTAACCGGTGTATATTTCTAGTTGTAACTTTAAAGAGCCAATATTTGACTTTTACAAGGCAAATAATATGTACTATAAAATTCAAGATAATTCCGGTATTGGCATGAATCTCATTAACCATGTATTATGTAGGATTTAGATAAGGATCTGACAGTTCTCGCTATAATAGTTAAAAACTAGATAATGAAAAGGGAATATCTTGAAGATTTCAGTCAAATTACTTCATTCTGAGCAACGTTATATATGGCTGTTGGGAGAATAGTGGAATGTCGAGTGGCATTGCTACCGTTGTTACGATAGTAAACAATGTCTCGATTATCCATTTTTTAATTAAACCATTAACTGTCAATCCGTTGAGAATTTCGAGCATCCGACGGCATCGTGGGTTGATTATGGTTTTGGCAAGTTAATAAATGTCTAATTAATAATTTATATAATATTTAAGGCCTTAAGAAAGACCCGCAGTGGGCAGATTTGGCCCTTGAATAATGCCCATTTAACCGCATACCGAAACTCAAAATACTTTGACAAACTTATTAAAAGGTAGATAGCAACTGCATTTCGATAAAAAATATCAGATAAAAACTAAACGAAATTGTATCTCTATAGAGCAACAGATAAAACCCCTTATTCGTCCCATGCAACCATTTTGATACCGATGAGCCATGGTGGCTAAATGAGTAAGAAGTTCGCTCGCTAGCCTGGAGGTTCCTTGTTCGATCCCTGCGTCGGCCGAGGAAGTTACACATTGTCAGTGATGCAAGACAGCGGGCCCGACAAGGGACAACGTATGGTCGGAAAACCGAGGCCCCATGTACCCATTAACGTGCACTGAAAAGATCCCCTGGCAGTTGGAATTCGATATAAAAGTAGGCCGTAGCGCCACTGTCCGGGCAAAATTGCCCTCATAGCAGACTGTATGGTGTAAGCCCGTCTTTATTAGCCCTTTCTGAGCAAGTAGGACGTTAAACAAAGCTCACTTGAAACTACTTGTAAACGTTTTGCATTGCTGGAACCAATTTGGAAAATCCCGGGGAACTTCCTCGACCAACACCGGGATGGAATCCATGGAACTCATGGTTAGTGAACCAGTGCCATGGTAATGGACATGTGTACGATTGCCTACAGTCCGGGGTTAACCATTTTTTCCAGTGCTGGTTTTACCATGGTGCAAATAGTGAAACTTAATCAGGGTCCACACAAGGGAGCCCCACATTATAGAATTATGCGATCAGATGATCAAAAAAAAAAATTATTTTAATATCTGCAAAATTATTGGGTTTTTTTTTATTATTATTATGTTGGAA